GAACAGTCCGCAGGTGCAGAAAACACGGTAAATACCATAGGATTCGGCACTTCCGCACGCAATTACCCCCCCCACCCACCCACCCCCCCCAACCCCGCCGCCGTGGATTAGCAGACCCTCCGCGGCGGCAAGAAGCGCACATGCCTAGAACTAGGACCATGCAGTTCCTGCCAGGTGTTCTGGCTGCCCTTCAGAGGCTGAAAACATTTCGCTTCGAGGAAGAGGGGCTGATGGCGAGTCGGGCTAAAGACCTATTGGACGCATACACCGGAAGACGAAGCCCACCTCCACCCTGCCAGAGCTGGAAACTTCGAGCGGTGGAGAAAGAGATCTACAGACGCTTTCGGGAGGTCTGTGTGAAAAACCCAGAAGGCATTCAGCACTTCATCGAGAGCGGCCTTCCTGCTCAGCTTCTCTCAATCCTGGAGCCATATCGCTTGGCGAAAAAGGCTGCGGAGATTTCAGCTCCTCTGGCCAAGGGTCCAAAGCCGACACCTGTTACCACGACGACTGCGACTGGTGCAAGTAAGGCCGCAGCTTCGGCGACTTACCGTGCAGTCGTCCCTGCTAGGATTGGTGCATCGGAGGCAACGCTTTCGAGTGCAGCTCTGCAGCTGCCCTGGTCATCAGAAGAATGTTGGGAGAGGCGCTGGGAGCAAGAATCTCGGTTGACAATGAACCCTGGGCCGATTGCATAGGCGCAGGCACTTGCCTAGCAGGGCTTCTTGTCTACGAAAGTCGAACGGGGTTTTCAACCTTGAGCCCTTTCAACTGACCAAGGATCTTGTCTGGCATCCGGGGATCCTATATGCAGCGCACCAAGCTCTGCCCCAACAGAGATAGAGACGGCGCTCAAGCTCTGCGGTGGCACGGCTCCGTTTCCCAAAGCGCAGTAGCGGCACGAAAGCAAGGACCAGCTGGAGCGGAGGGCACCTCAACTCGAAGAATGATTAGAGATGGAGAGACCGCGGATTGCCAGGCCTTTCACGATGCGAGAGTCACGAGACGGAACAAGGTACAACGAGGACACGAGGCTGCTGCATCGCATCTTCTGCGGCAAAAGTGGCTGTCACCAGTGGTCCTAAGCATCCCGAGCGTGTTTGGCTCCGGATCAGTCGCACAGGACAAGGCAAGCACTGAGCGGGACGGCCAAAAGTGCACTGCAGTGCCCACACACAATACCGAAAATACCTGATCGCTTGTGAAATGATCCAGAACATGCTTTCAGAAGTATCAGGGGAGCGGCTGAGGGGCTGATTTCCGTGCGTGCATGCATGAGCAAGTATGGGTTTGGGCGCTGCTGTTGCTTTTTCCCGAGCTTTTGCACCTCATACTGAGATGATGCTTCACCGATTTTTCTCCGATGTGCCAAGTTCACATTCGGCACGTCTCTCGCAGTGCTTGCATGATTCCAACTCGCTCGTGGAGCCGCCTCAGGGTGTAAGGGCTCGTTCTGAGAATCTTCGAAGCAAGTTGGGTTACCATTTCGTGATGCCGGCGGGGGGGCTGCTTTCTCCTTCGTGTTGTCTCTCAGCTCATTGGCTTAAGCCTACAGGCTTCCTAAGGGCCAACTAGGACTGCAAACAAGACTAGCACGACCTGAAGTCGACAGTATCTTGCCGGGAATGCAGCAGTGGAGAACGATACATCCTGTTTGCTGTCTCCGGCAGTTCCAGATCTACTTCCGTGTCACTGTTGTATCATTGTATCGGCTACCGCCTGGATTCTACAACTTGGACACGCTGCCATGGCGCACAGGGTCAGCGTGAAAGAGGAAGATGCCGAAGATGAGGTCATGCTGTTGGAATGCAATGATGAGAGCGAGGCTGGTCATCAGCATCTCCTTCAACAACTCTAGTGAGTGGGTCATGCCTTTGAGCAAATGCAGGCGTTGACGGTCCTGGGCGACGCGACACCGGTCCCTCCTGGTGTTGTGCTGGTCTTGGGCTCGGAAGGAAGAGTCTTGTCTGCTGCGAAGCCGTTTCGAGCGTGCGTCTTTGTCGGGCACCTAGGACAAGCTCTCTGCGATGCTGTCGACGGGTCGAGCTCGTCTGCGATGCTCGCCTGATGTAGCAGCTGGAACCATGTCCGCCTCTTCCAAGTACACAAGTGAAGAGTGAGCTTCTCTTCGCAGCTTCAGTGAATTCGGATCGGAGGATTTGCCTCGGGACGCAGCTACTTGGCTAACAATGCGGCTGCGCCGCTTCTCCACTTCGCCTACCCTGAGATATTCTGGGCCATGGCAACTCCCGTTAGAGGCTCTCAGAATCTCAATGGTGGCTGCCACATCGACATGTTCCCGGATTCGCCTTGCATTCAGCCTAGGCTGGGGGGTCAATGGTGTTGTGTTCAACACCTGGACCTCTTTCAGATACGATCCTGACGGTTCTTGTCGCTTGGTGGACAGCGCCGACTGGCGAACAGGAATCTGGGTTGCAGCGCTTGGGCGTCCCATCCAAGCCATCCAAACCATGTCTGTACTGCCAATAATACGAAAAGACCCGGGGGCCAAAGAATCGCACCTGCCCCCAGCTGTACCCAACTGTAGATGTCACCGAGTCATTGGCGACCTGTGGTCTCTCATGTCTCTCAGACCCAGCGGAGCTGTGACCACACGGATCCCAGCTCTGCTAAGCGCTAGATACAAAACCTTCAACTTCCTCTCCGATCGGACGACACTTGCCAGGAACTCGCGAAGACTGGGCGGCATCGGAGTTACAGCAGCTTGCAGATCTCCGGAAAAAGGCACGAAAATGAAAGTCGGCAGAAGCCCACGGTCCAACAGCGTCGGCTCTTCATTTGACACTGGGGCAATGCAACCACACGTCCCAGATCATCCCAACTCACTTTTTTACTATGCTGCCTTTTCTTCGTTTACTTCAACGTGGTCCTGAGAGTCTTCTGTTGTAAGCGGATCCGTATGGCGCCGCGACACGTGCGAAATGAGACTTGAGCTAAGTGATCTAAGCTTGCACAGGCCCACTGCCTCCCGTGCACGGCCTCCGCACAGCCTTCGGTCTTGAGGCCGCTACGCCACTACTGCGTAAGATGCAAGACTTATGTGGCCGTGATATGTTTACCTTATCTCCGGTTACTGAGTGGTCTTGGGCAACCTTCTGGCGTTCCACTTTCCTCACCAGCCATGCAGGACCTGGTGATTGCTGGATTGCTATATCACGTTTAGCTGGTTCTCGTGCGGTCGTGCACAAATCCGGAGGGGTGGGTTTACACCTGTCGAGTCAGAAAGGATTGTTCAAAACTCGGATGTTGCTGGGTTCTCGGTTCCTCTCCGCAAAGCCCAGCTATCCCAGCTCTGGAAAGGATGTAAATTTAAAATTTGGTCGTAAGCCTTTGGACCTGTTTCGCATGCGGATTGACTGGCCTGGTAATCCAGCACAAATTCAACTTGAAAACCATAGCTAACGTTTGGCAGACAGTGACATCCCGCTGATTTGCCAGGCCTCGGCAATGTCGTCGGATGGTGTTTCAGCCCACTCGGCATGCACTTGCCAAGCTGTTTGGGGACTGGGACACTTTTGTACACTCAGCATTTCAGCGCTTTTTCGATTGACAGATCAATTTGTCCACCAATACCTGTGGCAAAAACAAACCGCCTTCGCTGGCGGTCAGGACTCTCCCAAGTGTAGTTTTGAGGCAAGCAGGTTCCTGAGAGATTGAAGCTTCTTGGGTGGCATGACGACCGGGCATGTCCGTTCTATTACCTTCCGCACCGAAGGTATCCACTCTGTTTCCGCATGGCTGACGCAACGGAAGCTGCATCAGCAGCATAAACTGGCGTCCCACTGGTGATAGTTCGGACAGTGTCGGTCTCAAGCAGAATGCGCTTCCCCCAGTTTTCTTTGTCTTGCAGACCTTGTAAATGCGCATCTCCTAATATCTCCAGACCACGGGGGCCACAGAAACTGTGACTTGGAAAGAAGATTTTGCTGAACTCCTTGTGTACTGAAGCCTTCACACATGCTCGCACCAAACATCCATCAACAAAAAACTTCGTCTGCCCGGAATATTGTGCTCAACGAATGCTGAAAGTTCGCCATTTGACAGAGATCGCTGACTGCTCGAATGTCTTCCACTGGCGAGGGGAAGCCCAAGGTGCGTCTTTCCCTCGTCACGTCAGGTTTCATCGCGAGTGCTTCAAGAAGAAGCGCGCAGCGGCGAAGCCGAAGGCATGAAGCGTGATCCTGGCGCTTGTGAGCTCTACCCGGGCCTGCCCCGCTGTGTCACGATGCCTTAAGAATGCCAGAGGACCACAGCTACAAGTGAAAATTCTTGCAGTCGCCATGTGACCAAGTCAGGGAGAACTATAAGGAACTGCGACTAGTCCAAGGAACTGCCTTACGAGCCGCCGGGCGTAGCATATGCTGTTGGCTTCAAGTGCAGGCTGGAGGCGAGATGACCATCGCTGCTTTCCTGGCCGTGGTAAAGGAGAGGGAGGGGGACTCATTTTGTGAGAGAAGGTCTCCGCAATACCTCACAGGAGCGGCTGAGAGGGGCGGGTGAAATGCCAACGCAGCGAGCTCAAAGGAAGAATAAGTTTCACCCGTTTTTTTTGGCCGTTTCTTCTAAGCTGCCAGGTATGTGAAGCTGCTGACTTCCATGAAGAACAATGCTGGAAAGGGTGAGATTACCAAGCATCCTGACTTCTTAAGAGACATGTCCAATGTCAAGCCAAAGTTCCTGAATCTGAGGCTCCTCGCCGGGCATCCGGATCTGGTTTCAAAGATCCCAGCGCCCAAGGCTGGCGCAAAGCCGCAGGAGAAGCCGCGGGCCACACCCGCCACCTTACCCGCCGCCACGCCCACGGCCGCCGCCGCCGCCGCGCCCACTGCACCTGCCGCCGCCCGCGAGCCTCGGTTCGTGGTGCATGTCGGTTCTTTGCTGTGCTTGGGAGTGAACAGAACAAGAGGTAGCTGCCAGCAGCCGCAGCGAAATGTTATGTTCACTCGGCCTATGTGTGCATTGACAGCCTGATTCAACTGGGAGAGAGAACACTCAACTGGGACTGACGCTACACTCTCAGCCGTGCTTGAAGCACCAGCTTCAGGAAAAGAAGGCTCCTCAGCAACCGCCCAGCATCTCAAAGACGGATGCCGGCACTGCGAGGCGGGCGTCGCTGTTGCAAAAACTCCAGTCCCTAGTCAACCGGGAAGCACATCGCACCGTGCCAGGGCGAGAGAAGCCGTGGATGTGGAGTCCGCGGTCTTGGCGCCGTTGCGCAGCCTGGCGCCTTTTGCAGGGTTGGTCCGCCTTGCGATACGTCGCGGCAGACCCACCCAGCGACTGCGGCTGCTCCGCTATCTCCAGAGCCCGAGCCGAGCCGGAGCCGGAGCCGAGCGCCGCGAGGTTTTTCTCCTCCGGCGCGACCCTTCGGCCGAGTTCGGCCAAGTTGTGGAGGCGATGAGGGCCCGGCTGCCCGAGCTCGGCGGTGACAGCTTCGCTCAGCGCCTGGCGCACATCTGTGCAGTCGCGGACTATTTTACCACCTTTGAGCTTGATGAACAAGAAACTCACGATCCAGCGGAAGCTCAACAGGCAAACATCCTTGAGGCGCGAGCTTGGAATGAGGGTCGGCTGCAACTGGCTATGGAGGCAGGCGTTCAGCCTCTATTTGTCGACGATCCTGGTGCACCTCTGGAGCAGAGTGGCTATGCGAAGAGAGCTAAAGCTTTGGGCTACCGCATAAACTTCGAGAGCATGCACTAAGGATGCTTCGGAGTTCTGAAAAGCAGACATCCAGGCTTGCCAGGTGCGCCGAAGCTCAAAATGCGCAACGTGTAGGCCTCGAGAGGTGCGGGACTGGGTCGTTGGCTCCAGTTCCGCGGCAAGCTGTGTCAGCTGATGGTTCAGCAACCACACTTCTCGCAAAATGCACCCCATGACTTGCCATGATGAGCCATGCTGGCTCGAGTCCTAATTCCAGCAGAAAGCAGTGGCTTGGGCCCTTGCAGATATTTGGGCTATGGAGGCGGGCACCTCCTTCCTACAGTAGCTCCTAGCTGGAATCTCGCGGAAGTTTTTGGGTTTGATAAGGAAGCCACCGGAAAGTGAAACCTTTTCAGTCCAGGCAGTCCCGGACGCGCTCTAGATGTCGCCAAGGCCACCGGCTTGCAAGTTTGTCCCGTACTGTGCACATGATCTACAGACGGCACGGAAAGTGTTGGTCCAGACCATGTCTCAGCCCGTAAGCTTCCCATTTCATGGTATCGAAAAATCACTTGAGCCAAGGTGGTGCTGCAACGGCTGCCCAAGGCGTCTCTGCTCGAGGTTCACTGCCCTGCTCGTGAGGCCAGCCTCGCCGCGTTGTGCCTTGTCGCCTTTTTGGTGCTCCTTCGCTGAGAAAGGCTCCTGCTCTGCAGCGCCTGGCTTCGGAAGCTTGGCTGAACCGTGGAGGCATGTCAAGGGGTAGGGATGAAGCATTGTTTTGGCGCCAAGGAGGAGCCTCGACTCCGACTCCCGTCTGTTGATGCCCAGGGCAAAGGCAGAACAGACTCCGCCGCACCGAGGCAGTGGTGTCTGTGACGAGCTACTGCATGAATCTGAGCAGTGGGTTCGCAATCACTACTAGTTGAGAGCAAGATGGGGTGAACGGTTTGGCCATGTTTGGCCCTTAGGGTTTAGGTTTTAGGCTTTCTGCGGTCTCGTGTTCGTAACCTGTGAAAGGTTTTTGCACAGCCTCGTCACCAGTGCAGAGGAGGTGGCTTGTTGCTCCTTGCCAAAATACGTCCAATACTCGTACCAAGCAACTTTGAGAACAGATGTTGCTATGTGTCGATTACTGTTACCCATAGCACTAGTGTCGACAACAGCTCTAGGCGGAAAAATTCAGCAGACACTCCAGGAGTGCCAACTTCCTCTGCGGGGAGTCCTGTTGGACCTGCGGGGCCTAGCTGCTGCCTCAGTATGCAGGGTCAATACGGGGGAAGATCACCTACATACATGGTTGCTGCTGATGCTGCTGCTGCTGCTGCCGCTGCTGCTGCTGCTGCTGCTGCTGCTGCTGCTGCTGCTGCTGCTACGGCTGCTGCTGCTATGACTACCTACGGCTACTACTGCTGCTGCTTCTGCTACTGCTGTCGCTCCTGCTAATACTCGCGCCGCTACTGCTACTACGACGGCTGCTGACGGCTGACTACTGCCACTACAGCTGCAACATTGCTGCAACCAGTACCAGTACCGGTACCAGGACCACTACCACTACTACTTCCACTACCACCATCCCGACCACTACGACCACGACTACCACTACCACTACCACTACCACTACGGCTGCCACTGCTGCTGCTTTCACCAGTACTACTACCAGCTATATTATGATTATTCATAGTAGTGGTAGAAGTAGTAGTAGTAGTAGTAGTAGTAGTAGTAGTAGTAGTAGTACTACTACTACTACTACGACTGCAACTGCAACTGCAGCTGCAAGTACTACTACTACTACCACCACTACTACTACTACTACTACTACTACTACTACCACTACTACCACCACTACCACTACCACTACCACTACCACTACCACTACTACTACTACTTTTGCTTTGCG